AAACATACAAAGTCTTTAGTCTAAATCCTCTCTATCAACTTGAGGAAAATGTTGGGAAAATATCTTTCAACAAATCCTGAGGAATGAGCAACCCTGCAATCTTCTCCCTAAAAGTTCTGAACCCTACCAAGAACAAAACAACAGTGTTTTATCTTGCACGGTGGACTTACCCTTAATCACACTTTAAGTTTGGGGCATGGCTTTTCGTCACTAAAGGTTCGTCCTACACCTGACAAAAGGGCACGGCAAAGGAACAAGGGCATGGCAAAACATCATGCAAAGTCTTTCGTCTAATTCCCGTCTGTGAAGCTAAGGAATAATAGTAGACACTTTCAACAAATCCGGAGCAGCCAGCAACCCTGCCATCCTTGTTTTGGACAACCGACTTGCCCGAAACCCATCTCTTGACTTGGGAGGGAAAGCATGGAAACTGCGAACTGGTGTCCCGTTTTGCTTTCAGCAATTGGTAGAGGGAACTAGGCATGACAGGAAATGAAGTGGCAGCATTTCTTGTCTGCAGCTTTTCCCCTACCAATCATGCGTGTCAAAGGCACTGTCAAAACAAGCTCAGCATGTGGTATTGTCGTCAGTCCTTCCCGAGCTGCCGCACCCAACCAGTTTTGCTCTTGGCAGCGGAACTGCCTTGCATTCAGAAAGCTATCAGGCTACGCAGCTAACAAACATGAATTTTGCGGGCGTTTAAGGGAAATCATCAATGAAACTTCACAGGTTTCGGAAAGGCAGCGCAGCATGCTACTCCTTGATATTGCGCAAAGATTCACACAACACAACCTCTCTTGCTTTCCTTTCAAGAATTCTTCCTATCCAAACCTTGTTTTTGCAGTCACATCGTTCTAAGCCAAGTCACCTTTTAGCAGCTCCAGCTGCAATTCCTCATAACGTCCAGGAGAAAGTACCTTGCCCAGTGAGCGAAGAACTGCCTGGCGAAGTCTTAAATCTCCGCTCCAACCGAGCACATGTCTTTGCACATCTGCATTGAACTCACGAAGATGCCCCTTTAAGATCTCCGCGTTGATGCCCGGGGAGAAGATATCCACGGACAGGCTCGGAATCGACAGCGTCGGATCGAGGGCATGAAGTCTTTCTGCGGTGAACTGGATGGTTTCGCTCATCTTCCTGATGAACTCCTTCAGCACCTCTGCTCTTGGCTTGGAATTCCCAAAGGAAGAACCTGCAAAATCGTGCCAGTAGAACGTGACATCTTGTCCTTCCGGCTGCTGCATCAGCACGTTGCCGATGTGGCAATCGTGCCAAATATTTGCATATGCCAGAGCAGTGAGGTCTTGTACATAGCCAACGAAGAATTGGAGGAGGTCTTGCAGTGGGAGAGTGCTAAGCTCCATTGCTACAACCTGTTGCATGATTGAGACCTGCATGATGAATTCATCAGGTTTTTCGAGTTGGTGATGATCTCGTCCGTCTTGACTCAGTTGATACAGTGGCACGGACATATGCATGCAGAATTGGCATTCTGCTGCAGGCGACGCAACTTCAAAGACAAGTCGCGTCTTCCAAACTGAGTGCTCGCGCCAACGGTGTTCAAGCAGAATCTCTTCCTTTCGGATCCACCGTCTGAGGTCCCGATTATCACCAGCTAATCCAAAAAGCAAGGCGTGGAGTACAAAACCTTCCTCAGCATTTGAATATCTCAGGCTTGTCAAGCTTGTTAAAGCCTCCATTCGGTTGAAGAAAAGTGACTCGCTTCCATTGTCGACATAGGATGGAAGTTGAAAGCTTGTTCTCACTACAATGTCTCCTGCAGCAGCGTCGCCGCACTTCGCTGTTGCAATTGTATTTCCGCCTCCTGCTGTGCCCCACTTGTCAAACTCACAGTTGAAGTAGGGCTGAAGGGTTTGACAGGTGCCTGGGCTGCAATCCGGGCGCCCAGAGACGCAGAAGGCAAGGGCAATGGCGACAAGCTCCGGTCTCAGCATTTGGAATCAGCAACTACAGGATATTTGTTACATGCCACATGTCCAAACCATAATATCATAGAGTCATAGAGTTGCAGAAGTGTT